CAGAGCATTTTTGGAAGATTTGTTGGATAGTTTTAATGGTTCGTCCAACATCCCCCTGTAGGGAGACATGCCCGACCTAAGCCTCATCTCGGAGGCCGACGGACCTCCTGCCCTGACGCGTCGATGAGCGACTGGGCCGTGCTCAGTCCTCGAGGGGGCGTCGTGGCCGGAGTCCTTCTTGCGGGCCCAGGTCCGGCGGTTGCGGTCCTGGGCCGTTTCCGCTGAGGGGTGGTTTCCCGAAGGGAGGTTTGTCCACCGCCGAGTTTCCGAAAACGAAGGATTGCAAAAAACGAAGGATTGCAACGAATGATTGCAAAACAACCCTTCGACGAAGGTTTTTTTTTTTTTTTTTTTTTTTTTTTTTGCAATCCTTCAACGAATCCTTCAACGAAGGGTTTGTTTTGCAATTCTTCGTAAAAACGAAGGGTTTTTTTGCAATCCTTTGCCATCCTTCGTTCAAGGAAGGCTTCCCAGAAGGCGCGAGGGCTTCTGAGAAGCACCGCCGCCCTCCGAGCAGGCTTACCCCCTCTCGCTTCCTCCGCCGGCACGCCGCCGACTGGGTCGAGGACACCTCGCTCCAGAGCGTCGCGGAGCGCTCCGGAGAGGGCCGCGGCGCCCGAGACGTCTTGCAGACCTGCTGGTGGCTCTCGAAGATTCCCGATTCTGTGGTCCTCGTGCGAACGTATCCTCATCTCGCCTTCGCCTTCCTCGAGGAACGCCCAGCCCCTTCCAACGCCAACGGGAGCCCGAAACCTCAGCTTTCTGACCGCATCCCAGCCTGCAGCCAGCAGGCAGGGCCCATTTCGATCCGATCGATCCATTGCGATGTCGAGTCTGGCTCGCTCGATCCGACTCGACTCTGCTCCTCCGACGGCCTGATGTGGGGGCGCTGTTGTGCATCCTGGCGCGGACGATCCGATTCGATCTCGACTCCACGCCGATGCGGCCCCATCCGACGCACACTCCGATCGCATCCGATGTCTCACCTCGAAGCGGACCGCCACTGCCCTTCCGAAATCAACGTCGATCAAGATAGATAGGGGGCCACATGCGAACCCTACCCCTACCCCCCACGATCTCTGAGGGGGAGGGTGGGGTTCACTTTGTGCCGGAGCTCCCGAGCGAAGTGAACCCCACCCTCCCCCTCAAAACTCGTGGGGGGTAGGGGCAGGGTTCGCATGTGTGGCCCCCTAAGAAAGCGACATGAACAGTCACGTTCGGAGGTCCGCGCGGACCTCTCGAAACGTTGGAGCTGGGCCCCCTGGAGCCGCCCCGCCAGCGCGGGGCCCGGCAGCGCGGGCCAAGAGGTCCGTGGGCACCTCCGGAAGAGGCTGATGCTCTTGTGCCGTGCAGAGGCGGCCCGACGCCTCGGCGTCCCGACCTGCGTCCCGGCCGTACGCCGGCCCTCGCCGCCGCCTCCTCGGTCTCCTCCTCGGTCTCCTCCTCCCCTCCTGCTCCTCCTTGTCCTCCTCCCCCGGATGTCCAGAAGTCGCGCAGCCGCGGATTCCGAGCGCTGAGCCAGAAGAGAGGAGGAAGAGGGGGAGGAGGAGGAGGAGGAGGAGGAGGAGGAGGAGGAGGAGGAGGAGGAGGAGGAGGAGGAGGCCATCAGAGTCCCCGGAAATCCTGCCTGCATCCCATCTTCAAAGTCCCTCGGGGGTCGCGTAATGGGGGGGGGCGACAAGTGGGGGGGCAGCGAGGGCTGCAGAAAAGGGACTTTGAAGTGCCTCTATGAAGGCCTGCTTTCTAGGAGCCCAAGGGGGGGCTTTTAGGGCCCGATAGTGGAACCTCCTTCCACCCCATGTTTATCCCCAGGAGGAGGAGGAGGAGGAGAAGGAGGAGGATGAGGAAGAGGAGGAGGAGGAGGCCATCAAAGTCCCCGGAAGTCCCGACTGCATCCCGTCCTCAAGGTCCCGTCGCCCCCCCCCTTGAGCGACGCCCAACTCCCGTGCACATCCGGACTGGACTCGGGCCTGCCGAGATCGCGCGCCCGGCAGGCCCGGTTGGCCCCATGAGCCTGGGGGCGTATGCAGAGGGCTGCTCTTTTTGGCCTTGGCGCGGCCTGGAGTCACAGCCACGGGCTCAGAGGAGGAACAGGTACCCTTAATTCCACCCTTCGCCCGTTTTCCCCTTTTTGGGGCCTGCTGGGAGGCCCTCGTCGCCGCCGCTGGATTCGCCTCGAAATCCTGGTCAGAACGCAACCCAGGAGAGGTCCAGGGGGTAGCGAAATCGGTACCTTTCTGGTTTCCCCACGGACGGCGCCGACTGAGGCAGCCGGGACAGTCAAGTGATCGTCTTTTTATTCGTTGTTTTGCCGATGGGCGCGGGCTCTCGCAACCCCTCCCCCCCATGGAGTAGATCTTGGCTGTCTTTGGCGCCTGTTTCCAGCAGATGGAGTCTCCCCCACAGGACGCACTGTTGCAAACAGTCGCATTAGGCAGAGATCTGGAGCCAGACGCCAACCTCCCCCCGATTCCGCCCGATGTCGAAATGCCGAATCAGAAAACGTTCACGAAGCAGTGGCGAAGCGACGCGACGTGCCCATAGGCGCACGAAGGAATGTTCTAAGGTCCTCTGTGGTTTGCGCGACCTGTTGGCTCAGACCGTCTTGCTTGAAAACGTCGGCTTCATGTCGGGACCGTCTTGGTAGGCCTGTGGGAGTGCCAGGACGGTCGGCGCTTGCTCAAGACCTCCTTCAGATCCGGGCGGCAGGAACCAAAACATCGCCACGGCCCGTCTTCGGCCATGGACGCCGTCTCGCAGCCCCGGGGCAGGTCAAACAACGACACGCGACAAGAAGCCAGCCGTGCGGGGACGGGTTCCAGATCCCCAGGAACCCGCGTCGCGAAAACAATGCGACTTGGGAGGAGAGGGAAGGGGGGGGACTAGGGAGGGGGGGGTAAAGTCAACCCGCACAGTAAGGGTGGGCAATTCTCCCAAGGGTACCCTTACATCCATGCCTCCTCGGCCCATCCTTGGCCACTTTCGTTGGCCGCGCCCCGCTGGAAAAGCTTCGAAGTGGGAGTCCAAGGCTCTTGCATCCTCATCGCGCATCCTTATGGTACGGGCCGACTGTAGTAAAACTGCTGCGCGCAGCTGGTCTCGGCCCCGCCGCCAGGTGCTCTCCTGGGCACACGGGTGCGTCCGGCGTTGGGAGCACCAGGCAACTGCGTGAGTTGATTTGCTACCCCCCCCCGTCGGTTGCCTCCCTTGCGTCCGCCGCCAGAGCCAAAGCCTGCACGGCGCCAGCCGGGGCAGCCGGGACCCGACCCGTGAAGGCGCGAGTATAGCAGCCGCGGTCGCGGCTTGGGCCGAAGAGCTGCCTTTCTCCGAGGGCTGCCTCGCGGGGGCGCGGAGATGACCCCGCGGCGCGCAACGCCGGGCGTGGCTACCGCTGTGACCAGACGGGTCTGAGGAGGGCGGGATGCGACAACGGTGGTTGGCCTTCGGGGGCGCCCCCCTCGTCGCCGCGACTGGGCGCAGCCCAGAAACCTGGTGCGTTTGGGCCCTGGGAGGGACCTGGGGACCGATTTTGACTCGCCCTGCTCTGGATGATCTGCGCTGAATGTCCCGGCCCATGTGGGGGGGCGGCCCTCGGGCGGCGGCACAACCCGAGGGCCCTCGGGCGGCGGCACAACCCGAGCGCCGTCCTGTGCTGGGTGGCGCTCGGGTGTGCCGCCGCCCAGGGGTCGGCCTCTGACAACATCCGAGGTCGCGCTTGTTGTGTGCGCCGTGGCTCCCGCAGAGGTCTGGACACCTTCCCGGGGACCGGCTTCTCGTCCAGAGTCGTATGTCTGACGGTCCTTTGGCCCGGCGAGGGCCCCCAGAGGCCGACAATGAGGGAACGTTTTGCTGCGGCGTGATCTTCTCGCGACGAGAGGATATGTCAGGGTCCATCCGCGGGGTTCTCGGTGGCGGTGGTCCCCGTTCCTCCGAGTTCCGCCGCAGTCGAGGCATGTTGCCTGTGTGCTCGCGTGTACTCCTCCTCCTCCTCCTCCTCCTCCTCCTCCTCCTCCTCCTCGCTGCCTGTGCCCTCCGCGCATGCTTCCAGGGCGTCTGCAGCCTGTACGCCACCAGCCCCGTGCTGTGGCAGAAGTGGGGCCGAGGGGGGGCGCTTCGGGGCCATGCCTGCCTCGCGCGCGCAGCACGTCTGGAATTGCGGCACCATGCAGCTTGTGTGTAACGACCATGCCATTCAGGAGGAGGAGGATGAGGAGGAGGAGGCGGAGGAGGAGGCGGAGGAGGAGGCGGAGGAGGAGGAGGAGCCGGAGGCGGAGGCGGAGGCGGAGGCGGAGGCGGAGGAGGAGGAGGAGGAGGAGGAGGAGGAGGAAGAGGAGGAGGAGGAGGAGGAGGAGGAGGAGGAGGAGGAGGAGGAGGGGGAGTGGGAGGAGGAGGAGGAGGAGGAGGAGGAGGAGGAGGTGGGCCCTGCGTTAAGTCGGGCCTGTCCCTCTACAGGGGGAGTTTTCAAAAATTGTCAAACAATTGTATGGGGACGATGTTTTGCGTATCTTTTTGACCATTCGGGGGTATTTTTCTGACTATTTTTCATTTTTCGTCCAAAATCCTTCTGCAGGAGGACAGGCCCGACTTATCCCGTGCGCACCCTGCAGCTTGTGTTAACGACCATGCCATTCCGGAGGAGAAAGAAAGCACAGACACCAAAGCGTCGTCGATTCCCGGGAACACATGGGAAGATACCGGACGTGGACGTGGAGGGAAGACGAAGCTCCAGACGAACCCGGCGCGACCCCAATTAGGGGAAAGTTTCCTATTGCATTGGCGCAGTGCTTGGCATTGCTTGGCATTGCCTGGCCCCGAGGAACCCGAGGAACCCTAGGAAGCCGAGGAGCCCTGGGAACCTGAGGAACCCTAGGAACCCGAGGAACCCGAGGAGTCTTAGGAACCCGGGGAACCTCCGAGGAACGGACAAAGTAGCTTCCTGAGGCACCAACCTTGAACCAAGTAAGAGCCCCTTGGGCAAGCCCTATTGGGGACATATGCTGAAACACACACGGAATCCTGGGACTTGCTTGTGTTATTTGTGTGACCCTGGGCGCCTTCAGTTATGCCTCCTTCTCGGCGGCGCACCCAAGGGGGAAGGCCGAGGCGGCGGGCCTTTCAAGTGGGCTCAGTCCTGCAGCCTTCTGAGGAGCTTTCTGGGCCCTCTCCGAAGCGCCGCCGCCTTTGAGAAGGTCTGCCCCCTCTCAGAGTGCCCCCTCCGGCGTGCCGCCGTGTATGTTGTTGATTGTGCCATGCCTCTTCCGCAAGCGAAGAGGGTCCGGTCATGATGCCGACAGCCCCCGGTCAGCAGTGATCGGGAGGTGAGGGCGTTCAGTCTCGTACGGGATCAATTCCGTGTGATCGGGGTGCTCGTCACATACCATCGACACTAAGCGGGCCTGTGATGCCAACCTCAGGCCACATGCGTACCACACCACCGCAACGATCATACGGTTCAGATAGAAAATCCTCACGTGTGTTGCTGTAACCAGCCCATCAGACTTGCATACCATCACATGCGTACTTCTGGCATGTGTGTTTGCACTTTGTTGGTGCTACGGTTTGCCTTCGATGTGCGCATATGTGTTGGGGTTTATTGTCGAGGCCATGTTTTGCGATCGAGGCCATGTTTTGCGACGTTGGCATGCGTCGACTGTATCACATATGCCAGGTGCTGATCACCTGAGAATTTGACGGACTCTCTGGGTGACCTCGCGTCATCCCGACCCCTGTCGCGCGAGAACGATCGACCCCCCACTGCGCCGCTGAGTGTGGTGGATCTGTGGAATCCGCTGTCCGTAGCCATTCTGGCTCAAGCCCGCGCGCGCGCTGAGGGCAGAAGGCGCCGCGGTACCCCCGCGCCGCACGACGAGCCGCCCCAGCTGGCCTTCGCCTCCACCCAGCAAGCGCAGCTCAGGATGGCCCTCGGCAGCGCCAACAAGGCCGTCGAGTCGGCCGAGTCCGCCCTTGCCAGCATGGCGCGGCGCAAGCTCGCGGACCGCCCGGCCCTTGCCGCGACTCTGGACGAGGACCGCATGGACGGCGGCATCTCGGAACCGACCGGCTGCAGGCCGAGCTCCGGGCGGTCCTGCGCGAGAGCTTCGCGCCGGCCTCCAGGAGCTGTCCGCGCGCCACGAGGCCTCGCTGCGCTCACGTCACTGCTTTCTTGTATACCCACAAGGATCCCAGCTTTGACCCCATAGTCGATGCTGCGATCCCGCTAGTGTTCAGATATTGCTGCTGGGTCTGGGATCGGACAGCGTCCGATTCTGACCTGTGAGTTGCCTGCTCGGGGGCTCGAGCTCGTTTGCGTGATCGCCCTCAATGGGATCGCATTCAGGGACCTATAGGGGCGGTCATTTTATCGTTGCGGCGAGTTGGGTGGGATTTCATTTCTCACCGTCGAATCAGGACGGACCAGGGTGATATCATTTCTCTGTTCACCGTTTGACCCTGGGATGTCAAGCAACGTTTGCGCGAGGGCATAGGGCATCAGTCGTGCCCAAGTGCGGCAGATTTTGGAGGCGATTCCCGAGTCTTGCGGTGATGAACCTGTTTGGGGGCGCGCGCTCAGATTAAGGATATTGGCTGTGAAGGGCCCCCCTAGGCAAGCGGCCCTGCAAGGCCTGATCAGCGGGAAACTTTGGCCGCCAGCCAAGGAGCATCAGCATGGCTACGTAGCCAGCCCGAAGTGCGAATTCGGTTGCGATGCTCTTGGCACTTTCGATCACCAGTGGTATGAGTGTAAGCGAGTTTGGGAACCCGGTGATGACCCAGCCGAGGCATCCCTATTTCCAGACGACGTGATTGAGCACGTGAATTCGTTGCGGGACAGCGAAAGGTATTCCCCCCGACTTCGACACTCTGGAGTTGGTGCATGGTGTTCCTTTCCCCCCCTCAGTATTGCTCCTGTCCCAGCCAAGTATTCTCCCCAGTTCTGGGGTGCTACGAACATGCCGTGAGGCTTTCAACTTTTTACCGACGGTTCTGGGCTTTCGAACGGTCTACCCGAGACTTGCCGCTGCGGGTGGGCCGTGGTCGAGCGCAGTCCTGGGGGCTGGCCCATTCGGGCGTGTTTTGGGCCCCATTCCAGGGGCCATCCAGACCGTCCCCAGGGCCGACAGGTATGCGTTGCTGCAGGCAGTCCGCCTCGGCCCGAGATGAGTTGAGATTATCAATGATCACCTCCCTGCGGTGCAAGAGGCATCGAGCTGGTCTGCCGAGCTGGCTACAGGTTGTCACAAACATGCGTGCGTCTGGCGAGAGTTGTTTCACTTGTGTCCAGCAAGAGCTCCGCCCAGTGAGCGGCCCCGAGTCCGCTGGACCGCGGCCCACGGAGACCTCGACTCCTTCTTGTTCGGCCAGTGCGCTTCGAGCCTGGATCGAACTGTGGACACTGCGGTTTCCGATTATTTGGGCAACATGTGGGCCGATTTCTTTGCTAAGCTGGGGGCGGAGCAGCATGCCATTGAGACGTGTTCAGTTTGTCGCGTCTCAACCTGATTCCTCTTCCTTGTCGGCGAGGCCCTGCCGCAACCCCTTGGCGGTGTCTCAGCTTTCCCTCCTTTCTCACGACCTGGAGGTGGCGGAGGGTGGGTGGGGGGCTGAGGTGTACGTGGTGCCATTGCTCAGGCAAGACTTCGCTCTCTCGAGCAAAGCTTGAGCAGCCTGGCAATAAGTGTGAGCCCGCGCCGCTCCACTTGTATCTCGCAGCTGTTAGAGCCGAGCGTCACAATGGCCTCCTCCCTAGGGCGCGTAGTGATGCTGTCTTGAACGCCTGTCGTGAGCTGGGGCTCACTTATGATGGCCTGCACGTGCAGGCTCTGGAAACTTTCGAGTATCGGGGCCACTGCGTGCAGGCCACTGCCAAGTTTTTGATGTGCCGCCGCTGCGGCGCCCGTGCCCCCATCGAGGCCCCAGTGTGGAGGGGCCTTTTGGCGGACTGCCGAGGTCCTGCTTGGAGGGCTTCAGTGCAGTCCTGGCACATTGATGCTGCTCTAGCGGGTCGCGAGGTCCGCTAGGTGGTCCAGGCTATGGTGGCAGGCGCCGGTTGGTGCCGTCGTGCTGCTTGCCACCACGGCCTGTGCCCTAGTGGCCCTCGGCCTGTGCGGAGGGCTGCGGGCCCGTGACACACGGGAATCCCGCGCCATCCACCTTTTCCCTTTGCCCGCCAGCCCTCATCCGAATCGGATGTTGCGCCTCGGCCTGATCCCTGATCCCTCCTCTCCCCCCCTCCCTTTTCCCTCCCTCTTCCCCTTCTCTCCCCTCCTGCCTCCCCCCCCTCCCTCCCCTCCTCGTTCCACTCCCATCTTCCCCTCCGCAGTTACCCAATATGAATACTACCTTCCTCTCTCCCCTGAATCTGTGCGGAAGATGGCCGGCACCCCTCCGCGCATGTTTTTCCTACAAATTATCCCGGCAAAGCAACCTAACAGCGATGTGTAGAAGCATATCTGAAAGCATTCCCCTTAAGATTCATATGAAAATGCAGTTGTCGAATTCTGCTGTTTTCGCAGTCGTAGTCGCATTCGCGATGACAGTCGCAGCGGCAACGCAGCAGTCAGCCTCAGTCAGCCTCAGCCTCAGCCTCAGCCTGCCTCAGCCTCAGCCTCAGCCTGCCTCAGCCTCAGCCTGCCTCAGCCTCAGCCTCAGCCTGCTTCAGCCTCAGCCTCAGTCTGCCTTCAGCCTCGGCCTCAGCCTCAGCCTGCCTCAGCCTCAGCCTGCATCAGCCTCAGCCTCAGCCTCAGCCTGCCTCAGCATCAGCCTGCTTCAGCCTCAGCCTCAGCCTGCCTCAGCCTCAGCCTCAGTCTGCTTCAGCCTCAGCCTCAGTCTGCCTTCAGCCTCGGCCTCAGCCTCAGCCTGCCTCAGCCTCAGCCTGCCTCGGCCGCAGCATCAGCCTGCCTCAGCATCCAAAATGTGGCCCAGGAATGGAGTTCTGGGAACTAGAAGAACACGAAGTGGCCTACAGTTGGCTGCGGGCATTCAAAATCATGCCCAGGAATGGAGTTCTGGGAACTTGAAGACCACGAAGTGGCCTACAGTTGGCTCCGGGCATTCAAAATGTAGCCCGGGAATGGAGTTTTGGGAAATCGAAGAGCACGAAGTGGCCTACAGTTGGCTCCGGGCATTCAAAATGTGGCCCGGGAATGGAGTTTGGGGCTCGAAGACCACGAAGTGGCCTACAGTTGGCTCGGGCATTCAAAATGTGGCCCGGGAATGGAGTTCTGGGGACTCGAAGACCACGAAGTGGCCTACAGTTGGCTCCGGGCATTCAAAATGTGGCCCCTGGGAAGTCGAGGAAGTGGAGTTCTGTGGAAGGTCGAAGAGCACGAAGTGTGTGACTGTTTGCTTAAAACGACTTCTGCGGCACCCTGTCCGGCACCCGCCCAGACCCCCCTGTGGAGTCATCTGCTGCTCTCTTTTGACCCTATTAGAAACCTATCAGAACAAGCTGTTAGGTAAAAGCAGTATTGCCGGGAGTTGGTTTTCCTATGTGTTCTTGGCAATCCGATGTTGTTTCCGCTGCAGGGGTGGCCCCATTTTCGGGCTTCTCTCGTTCCGAATCGTGCTCCCGCTGCAGCGATGACTTCATTTCCGCGCTTCGGGTCGTTCCGAATCGTGCTCCCGCTGCAGCGCTGGCCTCATTTCCAGTGCCATGTCATGGCATGCGATGCGATGCCGTGCTATGGTATGTTCCGCTGTGCGATGCTATCCCTTAAGCTGCAATGCTATGATATGCAGTGCTTAAGTACGCAGTGCCACGCCACGCTACGTCATGCTACGCTTTGACATTCAACACCATTGTATGCCATGTAATGCTATGCCATGCTGAGAAGTCCGAGTGCGCGAGTAGAGAGGATATCCACGCTATGGTAAGGGATGGGAGGGAGGGGTGGGACGTTAGACAAGACGCTTGTGCACGTAGGTTGCCCCCTTTCCCTCCCCCCTTCCCTCCCCTCCCCTCCCCTCCCCCCCTTCCCCCTCATGCCCCTCCTTCCCCTCCCTCCCCCCTTTCTTCCCTCCCCCTGCCCAGGCACAACGAAGGGGTGTGCGTGTAGGGGGGAGGGGCAGGCTGTCCCAGGGCCTCGGCAGCAACGCGCTCCCCCAGATCATGAACGCCTCGAAGCAGAGGCCTGCGGGCGGAATATCGCCGCCGGGGATGCCGCGCGCGAGCGAGAGAGGGCTCGAGGTGGGGCGGGAGGAGGACCCTGCATGGCAGCAGTCTGCGCGCCGTTTTGCTGGGGAGGCGGTTGGCATACCGCGATCGTGGATCTCTCTCTCTCTCTCTCTCTCTCTCTCTCTCTTGTTTTGAAGGAATCACGCGCGGCTCCTCGACCATGCCAATTTCCTGGGTCATATCCTTGGCCACCGGGTCGACCAGCGCTTTTGTATGGGCTTACCGCTTAGTTCCTCACCCCGAGGGTCAGGGGAGGGGGGACCGGCCGCCAGGGCCACCCTCCCCCCAGCGACGGGAGGCCCAGCCCCGAGCCCGGCGGCCCTGCCGTCGCCGTCGTGGTCGCGCTTCGCCTGTGCTGCGCTTGCCGTGGGGAAGGAGGAGGACGTAAGGAGGAGGGCGGCGAAGGGGGAGGGAGGGAGGGAGGAGGGAGGAGAGGGGAGAGAGAGGGCAAGCTGGGCGCGGTCGCGCCATAGCTGACATCCTATTCCTCCCACCCATCCCGTCCAGCTGCACCAATTGTTCCTCTATCCCGCGACGGGTGTCTTGGCGGATCTGGACCCCCCTCAAAGATCTTGTTGCGTCACGCGCAATCACGTACAATGGAGGAGGAAGAGGAGGAGGAACAGGAGGATGAGCAGGGGGAAGAGGAGGAGGAGGAGGAGGAGGAGGAGGAGGAGGATGAGGAGGAGGAGGAGGAGGAGGGGATGACGAGGAAGGAGGAAGGAGGCGGATGATGAAGACAAACAGCAGCAGCAGCAGCAGCAGCAGCAGCAGCAGCAGCAGCAGCAGGAACAGGAAGGGGAGACGCGGCAGGAGCGGGATGACCATAGAAGGCGACGGAAGAGGAAGGAGCGGGGCGGTAACGACGAGGATACACTCAGATCCAGAAGAGCGGCCCGCGGTGGGACGAGAGCGCCGTTCTGAACGACGGGAGCAAAGCGCCAATCACAGGCTGCAGCGGAACACGATTTTGAGACCGAAAACGCTCCGATTGAAAAGAACAGTCCGTACCATGAGGGCTAATATGCGCGGGAGAGGGCCGACCATCGTCTGGACAGAGTGAGGGGTGACGGGGGAGTAGTATTCAGATTGAATATTTGTCCAGGAAGGCGGGCGGAAGAAGTGGGGAGGGAGGGAGAGGAGGAGGGAGGAAGAGAGGAGGAAGAGGAGGGAGAGGACGATGCGAGGAGGAGGTGGAGGAGGGAGGAGGACAGGAGGAGGAGGAGGAGGAGGACCAGTGTAAACCCAAAAGTCATCAACGATGTCGGAATAAACCCTCCCTCCGAGCTCCCTCTTCATAGGCCCCATACGACGGTTCATTCCCATGGAGGGAGTTGCCTCGTTGGAAGACACCCGTTTGAAGACCCTGAAACATGCCAAAACATTGTTCTCCGGATTCCAACGCCATGGATCAACCGGATTGTTGTGCCTTGGCGACCGTGAATCGTGCTTGAACGCCTTTCTTGGGACTCCAGCGCCGCAATTTCTGGTACTTTGATCATGGGGATCCGTGAAACTCTTGCAAATGTTCTAAGCGAATGTGCGCGGCGCTAAGGCGGGAACCACATGTTGAAAAGGAACCGCCTTCCATCAATCCGTGGTACTCTTGCAATTTGTTAAACGAATGTGTGCGGCGCGAAGGCGAGAGCCACATTTTGAAAAAGAACCGCCTTCGATCAGTGAGGAGCTTTTGCAGCTGGTTAGGGCGAATGTCGGCGCGCTAAGGCGAGAGCCGCGTTTCGAGGGCCACCCGCCCTCAATCCGTGGGGCTCTTGCGGTGGCTTGAAGCGAATTTGCGCGGCGCTAATGCGAGAGCCACATGTTGAACACCACCCGCCCCTCATCTGTGAAACTCCTGCAAATGATTGAAACGAGTGTGCGCGGCGCTCAAGCAGGAACCACATTTTGAAAACCGCCCGCCTTCCAGCGGTATAACCGTTGAGGGTCATAAATGGTGAGGGAGTCTCAGACGAAACGCACAGCCCGCCCTAAGAATTGGCTTCGGGGTGCGACAGGGAGGAGTTATGTATAAGAGAAAGGAGTGGAGACGGAGGAGGGGAGGCTGAAGAGGACGTGATCGATGCGTGTCAGCGGTGAGAGAGTGGGTTTCGAGACGTGAATGGTTGTTGCTTGATGTGTCTTGTAGAGGAGACGGATGTAAGAGGTCCTTTTGGCTTCGGACACCAGGGTATTACACGTTTCTTCATGGATTCATAGGTTGTTACAGGGAGAGGATGGTGTTACGCGCGTGGACTTTTGCTACAGGTTGCAACGGGATGTTGCCCTCCATGGGGGAAGCAACGCAGCGACGTTGTGAGGTGGTTTGTGTTTGTACCGTGGTTTGGCTGCTGCATTGCCTTGAGGCCTTCGGATCATCTGCAGGAGGCCTCTTTCGTGCCGCACTGGGCCTCTTGAGGACCTCTAGGCAACTTCCCAGTGGCCTTTTGGAGGTCTCGAGGCCTCGTTCGGGGGCCCCGTGGGCCGTCCAGACAAACGTACACCTTAGGCGATGCTTAAGAAAACTCAAGTTTTCGGGCAGAGTCTCGATAATTCTTAACGTTTCAATGTAAATCTTAAGATTTTAATGGAAACGTTGGGTTTTTATTCAAGTTCTGAGACTATGAATTTCTTAACCCACGAATTCTAAAGCATTTCGCAGGGTGTAGAGCACATCGAACAATCTCTGGCGCCTTCGTTGCAAGGCGGTTGCCTCCTCGGAGCGTCTGAGGGTCCTCCTGGCAGGTTCCCCCGGGCTCCTCTTGGAACCGCCTCGAGGCCCTCTTGGGGGTAGTCTTTCGGATCCTTCCTGCGCGCTCATTTCGGGTCGGGCGAAAGGGGGGGATAGCAAAGGGGGGGTTTGAGAATCAGCTCACGTAGCTGATTTTCCCGGCGCCTCCCGGCGCCGGGAGGCGCCCATGTATCGAGGAATGGGCCCCTCGGTGAGGCCGAAATCAGCTGCATGCAGCAAATTTCGTAACCCCCCCTTTCCCAATCCCCCCCTTTCGTCCGGCCCGATCATTGGGGACGTCTTGGCCGTCCTGTGGCGTGGCTGTGAAGTCTTGATGCAACCTGGAGTGGCCAGGATGCCGATGCACACCGCGCAAGTGATTGTTTGTTTGGCGCTGCGGACCCCCCCCCAATAGAGACAGCAGGATTGAAACAGGACTGGAGAGACGAGAGACATACAACGACAGACAGGACAAGAGGAAGAAGGACGACACACGACACCAGCAATACAGCAGGCCAGCAGGGAATTTAACAGACTGGCGCCCCCAAGGGGGCCAGCGCATCTACACACGCGTACAGACCACCAATCAAAATTGTGACTGCATAGTGTAGGGGATCACAGCAATCGCACATATTGGTTAGATATCCAGCCACACGGTACCAATATAGAAGTGACAGCAACAATCAGCCAAGCACCCGGGACGAACAGGTGTGGTTGAGTGCACACTTCTTGGGCTGTCATCCCGCCCGTCGGTGTTGACATGCAGTGGTATGAGGGCAGTCCGCATTCGTGGTCCTGGTCTGCTTCCCATTTCCTCCGTCTTTCAGGCAGCCTCAGGTTATGGATACATTAAACTACACTGCACTGTCCAAAGGCCACCGCCTCGTCCACCTGGTCTTGGCTGGGCCCTGGGGGTTTGTCCGCGCTGGTGTTCATTCGCTCCTCCTCCTCCTCCTCTTCCTCCTCCTCCTCCCCATCCTCCATACCTTTCCTTATCAACACCTTCTCCCTGTCGCACCCCGAAGCTAGTTTTTAGGGCTGGCCAGGCGTTTCGCCTCAGACTTCTTCACCACCTATGATTCTGAAACTTCAACATTGGCAGCAGCTTCACATATTGAGGGCAGGTGGTTTTCAAAATGTGGCTCTCTCTTTAGCGCCGCGCACATTCGGTTAACAAACATTGCAAGGCACCACGGGTGGAGGGCGACCCGTTTTCAAAATGTGGCTCTCGCCTTAGCGCAGGGCGCATTAGTTTTACATTTTTGCGAGAGTGTCACGGATTGAGTGCGGTTATTTTTCAATATGTAGCTCTCGCCTTAGCGCCGCGCGCATTCGCTTATAACATTTGCAAGAGTTTCACGGATTCCCATGATCAGCATATAAGAAATGGTGTTTTGTAAGGATTCATGATTTTCCGGGTGCAACAGTTACGTTGCTACACGGTGTTGAAGTCCCAAGACTGGCGTTCTGGCACGATTTAGGACCGTCAAGACGCAATAGTCAGGTTGATCCGTGGTTTTGGAATCCCGAGAACAATGTTTTGGCATGCTTCAGGGTCTTCAAACGGTTGTCTTCCAACTAGGCAGTCGCCTCAATGGAAATGAACCGTTGTAGAGGCCTATGAATCATATGAAGAGGGAGCTTGGAGGGAGGATTTGTTCCAACATCGTTGATGACTCTTGGGTTTACACTGGTCCTCCCTCCTCCACCTCCTCTTCCCCCTCTTCTTCCTCCTCCTCCTCGTCCTCCTCCTCATCCTCGACTGGGAGTGCCCGATCGGGCAGGGTGGAGATGGCCTACTCCGCCGGCATAGCCTGCAGAGAGGCGGGGGGGGGCGCCTTTGCGGGGTGCCCGGGCTGCGGCATCGCGCGTCCTGCTCCTGCTCGTGCTGCTGCTGCTTGAGGCTTTGCAGTGAAGACCCATGGCGAGAAGCACCCTGCTTGCCTCGGGTGCCCTGGGTTTCCTGGGTTGTGATGGTGTTGCTATGGAAAGCGTTGCGTTCTCACGCCAAGAATCGATGGACGTCCTGGGGTCTCAGGGTTGGGTTTCTTGTGGAAGGTTTCTTGTGGTCGACCCCCTGCTGTAGAGGATTCAGGGGCGCCGTCAGGGGGGGATTGTCAGCGGCGAGCGAGGGGGGGGGCATCAGAAAGAGCAGGCCTTCTCAAAAGGCGGTGAAAGACTTCTCAGAAGACCTCGCGCCCTCTGGGAAGTTTTTTTTGCGCCTTCAGGGAAGGCTCAGATCACTTCTCGGACGGCCGGGGGGACTCCCGAGCCTCCTGCGAAGGCCCGCCCCTGCACACTTCCCCCGTCTCGCTCGCCCTCGAGATAGGCTCAGGGGGGGCACGCCTCGACCCCGAACCACCCGTGGATCGCCGATGGGGGGGCTCCCTATCTCCCACCGCTCCCAAGGAGCGTGCGGAGATCCGCTATATCGGGGGCCCGCCGCCCACCTCTCGGGGGGAAGCACCGCCGCTCCCCGGTCGATGCTCGCCCCCTTTTTGTCCCAGCCTCGGGGGCGTCCAGAGAAGGAGGGCGAGGACTACTGGGGTGGAGCGCCGACATCATGACTGGCCCACGGCGTCTCCCCGGGTCTCCTGGCGCCCCCCTTCTTGCTTCCACATGTCCCCGGCCCCACCCCTGGGCGGCGCACGCGCCTCGGGCCAGGACTTGCGACCCCCCCCCCCTGTCGGACGCCCCCCCCCCCCCGAGACCCGGCCCCCCCAATCGTTCAGTCGACCCGCACAGCAAGAAGGAACCACTCTCCAAGGCTTCCCCTTGCACTGAGTCGGGCGTGTCCCCCTACAGGGGGATTTCGACGAAAAATGCAAAATACACCAACAATGCACCAAAAAGGTAAAAAAATACTCAAAAAATAGTCCCCAGATTATTTTTGCATTATTTGTTGATTATTTTTGGGGTATTTTTTATTTTTCGACGAAAATGCCCCCTTGAAGGTGGGCAGGCCGGACTGAAGGCTACCCCTTGCACCCTTTCCCTTCACGGTCCTTGGCCGCTCTCGCTGGCCGCGCCCCGCTCGCAAAGTGCCGACATGGCCCTCCAGGGCCCTTGCGTCCTCATCGCCCGTCCTGGAAGAAGAGAGAAGACTGCATAAGCATAAACCTTTGGCGCGGCGCTCCGCGCAGAGTTCTTGGATCTGCGCCGGGCCCCCCTCCCTGGTCGGCGCCGGAGGCGCCGCTGGAGGGCCCCAGCGCGGATCCACGAAATCCACGCGGAGCGCCAAACGTATGTGTTTGTGGCGTCCTCTCATTCTATGCCCTTACAGTCGGGGCCCTGAAGAAGGAACCTTTTTTGTTGGGGAGGGGCTCCGTGTTCCTTAGTTGCTTTACAGTGCTCCTTGGGTTTTGCTGAGGTTTTCCATGGGACATCGGAGTTTACTATATGGGAAAAAGGGGCCTCGTTCCTTATTTAGGGTTCCTTAGGTCAACGCCTCGACTGTACGACACGGGTGGACTCCAGGATGCCCCCCTCGAGGGCGACGCAGCAGCGGCAGGCCCCGCGACGTGCATCCGCCCGTCCTCGCGGCCCCCCCCCCCCCCCTCCCCCCCCCCTCCCCTGCGCCTCGGCGCCTCCCCCCCCCCCCCGCTCCCTGCGCCCCTCTCCGCCTCTCTGCCTCCCTCTCGGCGAGGGCGGTGCCCGTGCCCGTGCTGCTCCCGAGCCCCCCCCCCCCCCCTCCCCCCCCTCGCCCTGCGCCTCCCTGCTTCCTCCTCCCCCCCCCCTCCTCTCCCCCCCCCCCCCCCGCTCCTCCCCGCCCCTCCCCCGTGCCGCCTGCTCCTCCTCCCCCTCCCTCCACCCTCCCTCCCACCTCTTCCCTGCTCCCCTCCCTCCCTCCCTGCTCCTTCTCCCCCTCCCTCCCTTCCTCCCTCCCATCTCTTCCCTGCTCCCTCTGCTCCTCCCTCTCCTCCCTCCCTCCGCCTCCTCCCTACGGCGATCATTTTGCTTAAGTCGGGCGCGTCCCTCTCTGCGTTTGACTTCTTTTCTTTTTTATTTCGTCAAACTTCCGCCTGTAGGAGGACATGCCCGACCTAACGATGATGAGGCTCTGAGGGCCATGGGGTTCGTTTGGGAGGCCCGTGCTTCCTTTCCATCCGGAGGTCGTAACCCGACGGTCGTTCAGTTTTGTTCTGTCTCGGGGCCCTGGGACCCTCTCGGATCGATCCAGCTCGAACAGCGATTCGTGCATGTTGTGTCGCGAGCTCTGGTCGTGACCTCTCCATGGCGCGCTCTGCTCCCGTGACTTCGAGTATCCGAGCCAGTTGCAGGCACTAGTAGAGGGCAGCAGGGGGCACGGAGTACGGAGTCCCTCTTCGCCCCGCCCCGCTCCGTACCTG